TCTACTAAGAAATAAGACATATATTAGTATGAACTCTCAGTATGTCCGTCGTAGATCTAATACATTTATCGTTGGGTAGAACAAACACATTTTTATGTATTTCCTTCGTAATTTTCTGAGTTTATTGATCTTACTGTAAACTGATATCAAGTATATCATTAACGGGCGATAGATATATATAAAATAAATTTAAAAGACTTATTTTTTTCTATATAAAAAATAATCTTGACTACTATTATTTAATGAATTATAATTATTTTAACTCCAAAAATTTTTATGTCCATCAAAACGAAATGTCAACGCCATTTTGAAAAAAGTACTATCAGATGACTTTTGTCAAATTAAAATTAACTTGAGAATAGTTTTAATAAAATTTTCATATCTTTTTTATTTAAAAAAAGTGTATTAGTCACGGTTAAAATAACTAATACGTCGTACGCACGAGATCTAGCTGTTGTTAATTATATGTAATTGTAAATCAATCAGTTATAAGAAAACTTACGTCCGTGTGGAATAAAAAGAAAATTAAAATCATAGACAAGATTATTATTTTCTAGTTTATCTTAATATAGATGTTATTGTTAAATGACTATTATAGATATTATTGAGAATATGGAATATTTTAGCTTTATTAATATTGATTAATGACTAAATAAATTAAAATGGTTATTTATTAAAAAAGTATTGTGTTTTAGTTAATTCAATGTATTACTTTATGTACTAGATTCTTACGATTCAGATTGAAAGATTCAATGTTTTTATTTCTACTATAAGTTATATGAGTCTATTTTATTTGTGTTTATTATGCTGAAGAATAATAATAATTTGTTAACCTATGTACATTATATTTCGTACATACAAGTTACTATTTGTTGCAAAAACCTTTATTACATATATTTAACATTAATTCAATTTATAAATGTAAGGAAACGTTTAAAATAGTTGTGTTAAAGTGATAAATAATCAAGTTTAAATATTTCCAAAATTTTATCTTAAAAAAATGTATATAACAAGAATTAAGACCTTTTAAAATGCTAACATTTCATAAGTAGCATATATTGCATATACACAGTAAGTATAATGAAAACAATTGCTTAAATGCTGTACATAAAAAAAAATCTCTGTATGAAATACATTCAACAAAGGGTCATCCGTTTACGTTGCAGTGAGCGCATAATACCTCAAAATAGAATCAGATTACAATAATCCAATTACACAATGACATTGACAACTAAATCCTATTAAATATACCAAACGGTCGTAATTGGCGGCCATTTTACAGTCTGTCATCGCAAAATGGCGGGAGGCGATGGAAAATAAATACGTTCAGGAATGGATATTATATCTTCATTAGTGCATCCATTGATACGTCCGTTGGTGATATTGAAATTGTCTCTGTTTTATCACGTTTCAGATAAAGATTTTGCTTATTTTTGTGGCCATTGTGTTTTTTTACTTACTTTAAGTGATTCAGTTATTGTCCTTTTGATTCGTATTTAAATTGTTATGCCTTTGATTTGAGTTTTTATAAAAAAAAGGGTTTATATGTACATATTAATATGAGTTTGTTTCATAGTTTCAACTTCGTGAAGTTTAAAAATACTTTAATATATATGTAATTATTCCGATCTATTCATACCGTGAAAGCGTTAATTTAAAATCAATAAAACAATGCCCATTTCCTTATATATAGTATAAACATTAAAAGTACATTTATAAACGTTTTGTTTGTTAATAAAGGTCGACTATCAAATAATAGTATTCATGAACCGAAAACAAAGGATTAGAGGAAATTGTTATTAACATTTGTATTGATTATATTATAATACGAACAATATAAAGTAAAGTGAATGCATCGCTCACAGAATACATTAATATAATTAATAAATATTTATCATCCGTCTGGTTTTGTTAATCAACTTGCACTCGTGACCTTTCTTCGAAAATCAAATACTATTATTACTAAGTTACTATGAACAGACATTGAGTTTTTGTTTCTTCATCAGCCTATCAGAGCCCACTGCAGAGCAAAGGCCTCTTTCTCACATGGAGAAGGTTTGAGAATTAATCACCACGCTTGCTCAAGACGGGTTGGTGATTTCAAACTTATAATTGTGAAATTATAAGTCCAGGTTTCGTCACGATGTTTTCCTTCATCTGTCAGTGGAGTCTAAATACTCTTTGAAGGACATATGACTCGGAAAAATCACATTAGTTCTTTGGTTTTGGCAATTAATAAAAATACTAAAAGGAATATTGTTAATGTAATTGTATAATACATATCATTGTAACGAAATTATCAATATTTATATATGTATATAAATCTGTAATATATTTTATGTCAACCGGAAACCGGATAATGTCCGATTCGAGCTCCATTTCATACATTCATTGTTTTAAATTAATATTCTATTACATGTGGCTGAATAACTGACATTCATGTCCAAACTAGATTAGTTTAAAAGTATTAGAAATTTGAAAATGGAATAATAATTAAAATAGTATAAATTTAAAGTTTTTTTTTAAATTAAAAAGTGTATAATAGTGTATGTTAAGGTGATTAAAAGTATACAGATTAGGTATATAAAACAAAGTCTTAGGATATTTGAATGTCTTTAAAAATAAATTACGAAGAAATTATATTCATTAAATCTAACAACATAAAACTTTATTTTATTTTACATATTAATTTAAACTAAGTTGCTAATATTAATATTTATATATTTTTAGTATTATTCCAATTGTAAGTATATAGCTTAAAAATACATCATTATTTTATTAGACAAATTCCTTCGTGTTTTCTCTACAGGTTATGCAAAATTATACTAGGATAATATTCCACAATCCCAGTGTGAATGAAGCCATAGCTTAGAAAAAAATCTAGTACGGTGATGTATATGTCATTCATATCTATATGTATAAAATTTATATATATTTCATAATAAAATAAAATAAATAATATTTTCTATTACAAATGAATTAAGTCATTAGAATTAGAACCGAACGGATGAAGACCGTTTGCAAAATTTCATAAACAATACAATAATAATTTTTAATCATTTTGCGAATGGATTTCATTTAATTATATATAAAATTAAAAAATATTTTCAATATGTTTAAAAACCTGATTCATTCAGATCTCAAATATCATTAAAAATTATAATAAGAACACAATTTATTTAATCATTTTTTCTTAGTGATTTTTTTATGGTTTGTTTTTTTCATTCACTTTAAAGACACAACAGATAGAAAAAATGTTTCATCTATAGAACATTATAAGTAACACATCATGTTAATATTAAAAAGAATATTAGTAATAGTCAGGCAGGCCAGGCCGCCTTTCGTAATTAAGCCAAAACTACATATTTACAATATGTAAGGCAGACCCTGGCTAAAGCCGGGAAATTGCCAAGAAGAAGAATATTAGTAATAGATATATAAAATCTCCACTTTTACATGGACCTATGATTTTTTGGATATTCGTTTATTATTTCAATTTTAATTATATTAAATTTCGATAACTTTACAGCAGCCACGATCACGTCTTCAGACGAATTCTATTGAAAATTAACAACTTTATAACTCATATTACAAAGCACATGATTTTTCTAAAATTAATAAGAATTGTATATTGTCAATTACTTCAAACGTGTATATTTAAGCAAATATATTTTTTGTATCTCTTGTAGATATTTTGTACTCTAGAGCAGTAAAGTCGGGATCAAAGCATAGTGTAGGTATAATATTCTATCTGAAATATATTTTGAAGTCCATGCCAACGAGTTCTAGGGCGAAATAAAGTGTATATTTTCAACAATTATTGATTATATTTAAAAAAAAAATATTGAAAGAAATAACAATAGATACATTATTCAAATACTTAATTTTTAAGTATATTTTTATCATAATATTGTATGATAAAAATATATATGTGGTTAAACTTTTTTATGATAATGTAGAAAACGTAGTTTTATTGTTGATAGGTCTTCATCGACACGTTTATATATATAGATTTGATATATCTTATATTTCGAGAAAATCCTTAATTTTGTATTATACTTACCTGAAACAGTATATTACTGAATAATAACAAAATAGTTCGTTTATATTACACCTCATTTCCTTTTAAAGAAAGACATCATTCGAAATTAACTTCAGAACATAAGAAGATCAAATTTATTTTCGGTTTTTAATGTGTTAATGTCAGGTGGTTTAGAAATTATCTTCAAACCATAAAAGAATACAACACATACACAGTACAAAATGTAAAAATTATTTAGGTTTTTTCAGTTACTATGAATTATTATTAAATGATTTGATAGTGAGGCAGAGTCTGATTTGTTAAAAATAAAAAAAAACAATGGAATGATATATTATATTCACACATAATTTTCTCTGAATAATAATAAAATAATTACAGAATTGATTATGTTATTCAAATATCAATGAAACTCTGTTGTATACTTTTGAAAATTATTGTTTTTTAAATTATTATTTTTGTATGGACGGAATAAAAGTAGCTTTTATCGTTCTTAAAGTCTTTTATCGTGTCATATATGAATAACAAAAATCGACTTTATAGTTCTCATTGAAAATATATGAACAGAAAAAACTATTTTGCTACTTGTAGTATATATTAAGAAAGGTACATGTTATAAACTTTATAAAAGGGAAGTTGCTCATGCAAAACCGCTCAGGATTCAGGTATTACAATTGTCTTTTATAAATAAACCATCATCATCATCAGTTTATGAAAGCCCACTGCTGAGCAAAGGTCTCTTCTCACATGGAGAAGGTTTGAGCATTAATCACCACGCTTGCTCAAGACGGGTTGGTGATTTCAAACTTATAATTTTGTCATGATGTTTTCCTTCACCGTCTGTCAGTAGAACGTACATATGACTCAAAAATCACAATAGTACTTGCCAGGTTTCGAACCCGCGCCCTGCCCGGTTTTTAACCTCTAGGCCACCAGGAACGAAATAAACCATTAATAAAAGTTTTTCTTCCAGCAGGAGCTCCCAGTGGACCGCCCGTGGTACGATGTCAGTTAAGGAAACACAAACCTAATAGAAAACCAAGAACACCATTCACAACACAACAACTACTGGCCTTGGAGAAGAAGTTCAGGGACAAACAGTACCTGAGCATCGCGGAGAGAGCTGAGTTCTCATCGTCCTTGAGATTGACCGAGACTCAGGTGAGTTTGTGCTGAGCGTCGATTTGTTCAGCACTATCTTACTGAGCATTGATTTGTTTAGTGTTCTTTTTCTGTGTATCTATTTGGTCAACATACTTTTGGTAGATATTTTGCAAAATAATAACACCAAAGGAAGCCAATTATGCAGTTATAGTTAATCCTTATTACAAATACTGGCTTTACAAGTACTTAAGTTATTTATATATTAGTTATAGATTTGTCAATTCAAAATCTCCAAATATATTTAAAAAGCGATTAAGAACCCATATATTAGAAGATTTCACTGATCTTGTTTAATATCACTACTGTTTATTATTTGTAATTTTAATTGCGGTTATAGTTTTTAAAATTTCCTTTGCAAGCGAACTTTGTTCTTTTTGAAAATAAACTTCTTTAAACCTAAACCTAGGTTGCTAACAATATTGTATTTCAAACGTTTCACAATATCAAAACTGCAATCGAATAAAAAATCTAATATTTCCAGGTGAAAATATGGTTCCAGAACCGTCGCGCTAAAGCGAAACGTCTCCAAGAAGCGGAGATAGAGAAGCTCCGTCTATCAGCCAGACCTCTCCTACCTCCCTCCTTCGCGTTGTTCGGTGGCGCCACACCTCCATTATTCGCCGCCATGGCAGCCAGACCTCAACTAAGCTTCCTAGGAGGCCCGCCAACACACCAACACGCTATAAATATGAACATACTCAATTCCCTCCAACCGCATTGACGTTTAGAAAAACCCGCCATCTTACAAAATGGCGGCGATGACGTTTGAGTTTGAATTTGACAGTGAGTGATATAAAAACTTATTGGTAGTATAGTGCCAGTACTTAATTTATTACGAGTGATATCTATTAATGAGTTATTGGAGAATAAGTGCAATTTTATTAGGATGACATTTAGTAATGGAGAGACAGCGATTAGCGGACGGATGTTAAATCGCTTCCGCTTATGCAATTAAGCGACATTTCGCTTCCGCCTTCGATGGGGACAAAATTATAGCCATAACTAACTATACATGTAAATATAGATGTAAAAATAGTTTATAGTCAATTTGTTATAAAAACTATTATATAAACAGAATATAATAAAATGTATAATTAAGTTGATTATTTATTTTCTAAGTATGTAATTACCTTGTAGACATTAAACAGATGATAGCTCTAGTAATTTCTTAGCAAAATAAAAATTAAATCACATAAAATATAATTTTTATGAATTTTAATGTAAGAACATTTTTTTTTTTTTGGTTGTTCACTATCACATAATTTCATAGAATTAAACATGTTTATATTCTTCAAATAAATTTAAGATATGTATATAAATATATAGTAATTTATTTAATACGTATGTAAATTATAAGTTAACTCAGTTATAAATAAACTGTGTGATTTCTGAACGGAGGTCGTCTTACAAATAATTATCTGTGAATAAAGGAAAATAAGTCATTAAAATCATTGTTTAATATATAATAAAACGACTTGTCGATATCATGAACTTTTAATTAAAATACCATTATTATATAAAATATTTAATTGTCTTTTGTTTTGCATAACACGAATATAATATGCCGATAACGATTATTATTTTTTTTTATAAAATCTAAGTTGCAAAGGACTTGAATATCCGTCCGGGAAATTGGATTCTAGTTTTTTCATCAATTCTATATATATATGGAAATCATAAACTACTAGTTTCTTATTATAACTTAAAGCTAAAATCGTTTCTAATTAAATGATTTTTTATAATATGTCAGTTATTTTAACATCGGCTGACATATGACAATCTATTTACGATATAAAAATTATATTAAAAAAAATCACCAATTGTCAGTTTAACATAATTATTTACCTGTGACCGTAGTAAACAAAATATATTCAATAATTAAAATTTCTAAACATATGTTTATTAAATATATTATTTTTAACGTCCAACGTAGCTTGACCTTTTAGTAGGTAATGTTTGTACTAACTACGGGTTTTTTGTCATTGGTTAAAAACCAGTTCAATCAAATAACATTAATAAAGATTGACATAAACAAGAGTATTTATTGTAAGTTATCTAATATTACTGTTAAAGTCACTGTTAATTGAATACGCTTCGTTGACTAATGATTTATACGATCGCTTATCGTTATATTATAAAACTTATTAAAATTTACGTTAGGAAACTGAATATAATTATATCATACTAGCTTTCCGCCCGCAGCTTCGGCCGCGTGGAGTTCGGTTATATCGCGTTTCCAAGAGAACCTTTCAAAAGTCTGGGATAAAAACTAGTCTATGTTCTTTCTCAAGGTCAACTCTATCTCTGTACCAAATTTCATTAAAATCAGTTCAGTGGTTTAGGCGTGAAAGCGTAACAAACAGACAGAGGAACTTTCGCATTTATAATATTAGTAGGTATAACAAACAAAAAGTATACAATTAAATTTATGTTACTTCATTGAACAATCGTTATATCCGGCTATTGGAAAGATAAAAGCAGCTGTTTGTATAAAAATGAATTTTCATATTATTATTTCTTTAAATATTAGTAATTAGAAAAAAATTATTTGGACTCATCTTGTAGAGTAATATTATATGATTTTACTCGCTATATCGTAATTAATGATAAATAAGAATATATTTATTAAAAATTCTAAACTATAAAAAAGTTTCTATATACAAGTCAAGATGGCGACACTGGCTCACAAACTTGAACCTTCGCTAATTGATTAAAAAAAAAGCATTCGAAACATTTGGATGGATGTTGATTTGTATAATGCCATGATTCGTATGCCTCCTGTACGGACGGGAGTTTTTGTCATTAATTACTCATTTATTTATATACCAATATGGCGGTTTTATTACAATGTGGAAGGTTATTTATTGTAATTGGTGATTCCATTCGAATTACGTTTCATTCGGCCTCCATATATATTTTTTCTTAATATAACTTTTTCCAAGTTATTCGAAGGTTTTGCTACGATCGTATTAATTGTTGAATATTTTTTTATGGGTTTCTAAATAGCATGCGTTTATGCTTGATATTAATTAAAATATTCTCAATTATAAAGATTTAATTGGATTTAGATCGATAATTATAACAAATTACGATAAAAAAATGACATTATTGACGTAATGTATAAGTGTTGCCATATATGATAAAGGATTAATAAAAAAATGTAAGTAAACGAGGTTAATAATGGCAATTTAGGATTAATAAATAAAAATAGAGAACATTTATTAAATATTTGTTAATATTTAGTATAAAATTTTCCTATATTTCATGTTATTATAATAATTAACGCGAAAAACTCATTTCAACAAGTCTCGCTCATTAGTCCTTAATAATTACTAAACTAATTAAACATTCGCTTATCTGATTTAAAACGAACTAAAATAACCCTTTTAGTGTTAAACACGGTTCACACGAGCGAACAATGTTATTAATACAATAAAAAATATATTATTTTTACTATAAACTATGTACATATATTTTTCTTTTTATATGACAAATGAATATTTTTCTAAACTAATAATGGTGAATGGAATATATTGGTTTATGAATAGTATCACTTGTTATGCATTATTGTTTAAAAATCGTAAAAATAAATATAATTTATATGAAAAATAATATTTTTTGTAATTCGACGTATTTTTTTTTATTTTACCTAAGACATTTCTGTCGCAAGTGTATCAACATACGTTCTAGCAATCGTCTTAGATCATATCGTGGGACGGAAACGTCGAAGTGACCAAAACAACATGTGTACACTTAATATACAAAACACTGATTATATAAAAAGATTAAATATCACTTTTAACACGACCCACATTACATTAAAAGCTAGGCATCACACAAACAACATAAAATAAATAATTAGATTAAGTCTAATTTTTTTTTTGGAAGTGTATACAATGCAAATTGAAAGAATGAAGACGCCAATTGTTTTTGGTGATTTTAATTTAGATTTATTGAGCACAGACAAATATATCGAACAATACTTAACCAACCTCCAAGAAGCGGGGTATGAGATACTGAAACTTAAACTCCTGAAACATCAAGAACAAAAACTATTCTCAATCATGTGTCTACAAATATCAGTAATAAGGAATTCAAACTTTCTCTAATTGAATCATCATTAAAATAAACTTAAAATATATATATTAGACAATATTAAGTAGTACTAGCCATTCCATGTATCAAATATTAATGTATGTGTGTAACATTATTAATAAAATTCAAACGAAAATTTGATAATAATTAAGTATCTTTAAAAAACATAACAATTTGATTCCTTTTTTATCCGTCATCGTTTTTTATGATGGCAATTCAAAGATGTTAATCTGAGCAGTTATTGAGAGGCAATCAGAAATATAGGCGTGTCGATTTAATTGAACAGTGGCTGAATAATCACCCATAGCTAATAAACGCCTCCCGACTCCCCATTTGTCATTAGACTGTAACATTTGTAACATAACATTATTTGATAGTAAACGTTAAATAAAATAATACTATTCTATACTTTATATCTAATGAAAGACAGCTCATTTTAGCTTAATACCAATATCAGGAAGAATATAAGAAATAACAACTATTTGATCACATATTGCAATAATAAGTTCGCTTAACGAATTAATTTTAATAAATTTATATTTTTATACAGGCAAAGTTGGGTTAAATCATATGTTAAAATCTATAACTCACAAATAACTGCAGGCTACACTTGACTGTTGAGACAAAATATGAAAAATTATCTTCGTATCGAGAGCCTGATGTTTTAATTAGCCCACAGGCACTTACACCGACAACCGATTTGATTCTTATAACAGGATTGCCAACTTAAAATATTTAAATACATTTAATGTTGGCAATACTGAAATATACTTCACTAGTGGCACATGACGTAATTAAAAATTTGTTTAATTTTTGGAGGTTACTATTTTAATAGATTTATCAAAATTTAAAGTGTAATATGTATAAAATTTAAAGATTTTTATTGTACGGTTGCATAAAAAATCTATTATATTACCAAATAATACAAGATTTATAACATTAATATATTAAATTATAGTATTATACAAGTATTAACAACCCTACTTCAAGATTGGTTAGTTAGTGGTAAGAAGTCAAGGAAATTGTTTAACGCCCCTCCGTTGTAAGGTAAATTAAAATCGAAAGGTTTGCACCAAATAAACACGTTGTATCACATAAAAGAAAGAAAAATATATCCTTATAAGTATATATAGAAAATTAGTCAACATATTTAAAATTTTCTTATTAACTTTTGCTTTAAATTTGTTTAGAATATAAAAAAGTTATATTAAAATAGCTTACGATGTTAGTAGAAGTTTTTAGTCAAAAGAAAACTGGCATAGTGATCGAATTGAAGTTTCCCCTTTACCTTAGTATGTGTTCTAACTCAAATCATGCGATATATTTGTATTACTGAAGTTTTATATGGAGAAACATTAAAACTGAAAGTATGATGGTAATAACGCTAACTAATATTTTATGAGTCCCTAAGAAAGTTTCTGGAACTCAATATAAAGAATAACATTTTCAATAATAATTTTGAGTTATACATAAAAACTAACTTTACCCCAAAACTCTTTACTTCATTAACAACAACTCATTCAAAAAAAAACTAAGAATAAAAAGCAATATACAGGGTGACTGGTGAATTACTATCGATATTTGAGGACGTGGTAGTTGACGATCATATATGACAAAATAAAAATT